AGCAGACTGGCTGTAATCTGTTGTACTCTGTGTTGGATTAGATTCTGTCATGTTGTTTGTAGTCTTGCTTTCTGTGGGAATGAAATGTCACAGATAACATATTACAGATGTGTAGAGGGAGATCAAAAAATTGTCAACTTACCTGTGATCATCTTGACAGCAGACTGGCTGTAATCTGTTGTACTCTGTGTTGGATTAGATTCTGTCATGGGGTTTGCAGTACCTGGTCCTGTAGGAATAAAAAACTGTTGTCCTGTGTTTGCTGGTATAAATGAGCTGTATGTATCATAGTCACAATAAGCAGAGTTTGTAGAAATATTGGCTTATGTACAGTATGCAGAATAAATCCACCTGTCTACAAACCCATGTGCAACTGTCAACTGCAAAGAGTATCAGCTGTAAAGAATAAAATCCAGTGAAGAGTCTTATTAAATAGTTTTCTTTATTTTAACTTGTGTTAAAGAATTATTTCCAAGTAGAGATTCTAAATCTGCATCCATTCGTCAATATTGATTTGAATTTGTTAAAAGAAGTCTCATTTTAATATGCATAAGATCCTGGAAGCATAAAATAAACTAAGGAACCAGAACCCTTCACCATGAATCTACACAGTATGTGTTTTGACTTTAGTGAAAAGTGCTTGTTCAAAAAGTATACCTGCAAACTGTTCACATTTGTGGACTAAGACATATTGGTAAAAACTGCTGCCGTTGGCCTTTTCGAAGAACAGGGGTCTCCACATGAAACTCCTTGCTTTTTGTGTGGTCATCATCAGGGCAGCAAATTGGATGTTTCCCAGAAACACACAGGATGCAGTCAGATTAGTTGACAATACAGGAAATGACAGAGACACAACCTCTTAAGAAAATTTACCTGCGAGCTCGTCACATGTGTAGACTATGATGTGGGAGAATCCACTGCCGTTAAATATCTGGAAGTTTGTGTTTCGGTTTTCCCATGTGACATTGCTGCCATCACTGATTTCCTGTTCCACTATTTGGCCGAGACCTTGAATATTCCCATAAATGTAA